ATACTGGGGCAGAGGGGAGAATCATGAAGTTTTGCCCTGTTTCATTATTATTGTTTGTTTTAGCTCAAATATCAAAGTTCATTAGGGCAATGATTTTTTCTCTGGAAGCTCACAACTTCACCTGATTTGATTCAATTTATGCCAGCTGGTAAGGTGCTTCTGTGTTGTGCTATTTGCTGCAGTGCCAAAGAGAAAGCATTCCCTTTTGTAAATGTGTGTGAATGTAGTCTGTGTTCCTTTAACTGCAGTAATGTAGTTCATAGCAAGAGCAATATATATGTTCCCCTTTGCTCTGCTGTCACTTATGACTTGTATGTTTTAGAGTGAGTTTCCAAAGCTAATAGGTGTTTCAATTGTTTTTTTAAATGCAAGAGAAATGATAGAAACAACTGGACTTCACTCTGTTAAGAGATCATTTCTGGCCACACAAATCTCAAGAGGGGTGAAAATAAAATAGTTGCACACCAAAAATAAATACCTAAACATTAGACACAAGATGCTGGTTAGTTCAGAGTTTATATAATGTGCCTGCAGGCAACTGAGAAAAATGATGTATTATTAAAAAACTAAACATCACTTATCATTTACCTCTCAGTGGGCTGTTGTACCTGGTTAGATTCTTTTCTCTTATTTCTTTTCTCCCCCATTATTTGGATAGATATGTGAATTTTGTACTTCATTGTGGTTTATATTTTTATAGTGCAATGTTGTTTGATAGGTGTATTTGTGAAGGCTGCATTTAGAAAGGAAATACTTATGACTGTCATTATATTTGTGTAGTCTGTCTCTTTGGAGATGTCAGGCTTTTTAATAACATTCCTGAAAGTATCCTTCTGTAGTATCAGATTTAAACCACTCTGACAACTTGATGATGATGATATCATTTAGTTAGTGGAAGTTGTATTAAGTTGGAGAGCCATAAAAATGGAGCACTGAGATGAGTTGATCCTTGAACTGTTATTTTACGTTGTTGTTCTGTATAATAATGTATGGTACAAACTTTATAAGGCTGTATAAAACAGCATCATTTCATTTTGACTTCTGCTTCACCATATCAAAGGAATAGTGTTTCATTTTGCTGTTTTGCAGCACTGTTCCATTTTGTTTCGTTGAAACTGTTTCGCTGTTTTGATGCGTTTTGAAGTTCCGCCCATAGGCTATAATGGGGAATCATGAAAATGCCTATAATTTTGTCAATTTTTGCCTGATTTGGATTACACTTGCAGGGATGGTAGCCCCTTTTGAGCGCATGAAGTCTGCCAAGTTTCAAGGAGATAGGTCCAGAGGTTTCTGGGAAACTGTACCTCAAATTTAGTATCACTTGCCGGCAGTGGAAGCCTGCTGAAACCCAGTGCGCAGATCCGGGCCTGGGCCCCCCAGGAAGAGCTGGAGAAATGATCAGAGAGCTGGGGGAAGTGATAAGACAGCAGGAGAATATAACAGGGAGCTAGATGTCAATATCAGAGCAGTCCTTCCCCCCCTCTTCCCCCTCCCTTTTCTTAGTTTCTGTTTAGCTGCAAGCAAGTCCAGCTTTGAAACTCAAAACGTTTTGAAACTTTCAAATATTTTCAAGTGCCCTCATTTCATTTCAAAGCTGTTTTGAAGCCTTTTGTTTCATTTCAATTTTACTGTTTTGAGCTCAAAATACATCAAAACAGCTTCAAAACAAAACATCCGGTGAAATTTCACACAGCCCTAAAACCTTATATTGTATTTTTCAACAGTTACCGAGCAACGTTTAAACTACAGATGTGCCTAAACCAGAATACTTGTTCCAACCTATTGGAAATTTGGAATAGCTCGTGGCTATCTGTAAAACAGGGTAAAAACACAGACCTATGTTTTGGCAGCCTTAAATTTGAGTTGCCTATCTTGAGAATTTTAGAATTGGGCCTGAGTACTGAAGGGCTGAGGTCAGCAATTTCTAGAAAGCAAGGCCATTTAATAAAATATCACAAATATCATTAACTTGGGCCTTGTGCAGACATTCATTTTCTCCTGAGAGAGCAGCAACATCTCCTAGGAGAAATCACAAGTACACAGATGTTCAGGTTTTTTCTCCCAGAGTAAAAATGCCCACACTGAGAGAAAAACAACCTGGGAAGAACCAGATTTAAATCATTCTCAGGAGAGTTTCTCCTGGGAGAGTGAATTTCTATATATGCCATGGCTTCTTTCAGAAGGGAACAGTCTTCCAACATATCCCAATACTCCTCCCTCAACCCAGGGAGACAGTGTGTCACTTGCTGGACTCTGATACTCCAGCAGGAAACAAAACATGCCCCCTTCACAATCCCCACATTGTCCTGCAGGGAAATAAATGCTGATCATGGGCAGTTTGGGTCAGCCAATCAGGGCTGTGTAATGGACTTCTGTCATCTGCCACCAGGCATACTAAGGGAGCCTGTAGAGCATGCTGAGATGTATGCACAGGTTCTCCCCTTGGCTGCAGAGTGTCAGTACTGCAAGTTCTCCACTTTTCAGGGCCTCAGCACTCAAATAGCTGTATCCACAGCGATGGGTAAGTTTCTCTACCAGGAAGAAAAACATGAGAGAATTGTCTCAGAGTATTTTAATGTGCGTACGCAGCCTTGCTTATATCACAAACTAACCAAGCCTGACTGCACCACCCAAAAGCTCATTGTGCTGCTGTGTATGGGCTACCTCCAGAACCAGAAGAAATTTAACCATATCTGAGCAACAAGATAAGCAGGCAAATTAGCACTACATGCCCTACCACATTCAATGCAGAAAGCAGCCTCTGCCTGTCAATGCTGTATGTCCGAGGTCACTGCTGATAAGAATAGTATGTTTATAATGTAGTCATGTCTTATGATGCCTCCATTTGAGTATTATCAAAAATTAAGGTACCCAGATTCACTTGTAAAATATGGACCTAAACACCCTGAATATTTAGAAAAGGTTTAATATCAAACCAAAGCTGTACCTGAAATTCATGGCTCAATCCCATCTCAATGTAAAGTGTGCATTCCCCCTCTTTCATGGCACTAGTGCCAAACAGCAGCCTATTTTGTGGGTCCCCCACAAGAGAACATAATAGGGAAACATATTCTGCATAACAACCCTTGCAGGAACAGGACACTGGCTGTCATTGTCTCCCTGTTTTACCTGTGGCAGGTTAGGGTTCTATGACTTCTGGCTGTGTTACAGGGTTGCTGTCTGGAACCCTGATCAGGCAAACCGGCTTGGGCCCAGCACTGTCAGGGACTCTGATCAGGCAGAGCAGCCTGAGACAAGTACTGCAACAGCCACATCAGCAGCAAGCACCAGTTAATGAACTCCACCCCAGTTTAGTAGCAGCAAGCATCCTGATTGGCTGTTGGAAGTACTGCTTATCCAGTTAGCACTAGCTGGGGCCCTGCTCTGGCAAGCTTCCTGGTTCCTGCACTCTGGTTCTTGGTTTACTTCTAGACATCAGGTTTGGATTTCCCTGCAGTTCTGTTCCCTGGCTCCAGACCCTGGTTTGGCTCTGTTTTTGGACTTTGCCCTGCGGATTTCCTCCCACATGGATATTCAGCATCTGACTTTACATCCTGACCCTGGATTTTGACACAGACTCTGCTTCTGGATCTCCCTCTCAGTTTGGTATATGGCTTCTTCCCCAGTCCCTATTTTCCCACAGTGGTCTAACCATTAGGCAAAACCACCTACGCCTCAGTCCCTTGCAGTTGCTATAGTTTCAGTAATATGTTAGACAAGGATTCACTTGGGATGGTTTGGATAGGGATGACCCCATCTCAAAAAGGGGGTTGGATGATCTCCAGAGGTTCTTTCTAGCCTTACTTTTCTAGAAGTCTGTGATTCTAACTGTTGCATATATATGTCCGCCCCAGAACAGAGACAGTTGTGAAGAACTTGTAAGCTTTCAAGAGTGCCAGCACAAAACACAATCCTCAGTTCTTACGAATTGACTTGAATCAGAAGCTGTGACAGGCCACAAACTGTCCCATTGCTCTGATAGGTACCTTAATTCTAAAGCTACCTCTTCAAATACCCTATTATGATCCAAAAATAACACAGTAGGAGTTCCCAAGAGCTAAAAATTGTTCATATTTTGAGGCTCCTGGCACATGTTACATTTAAAACATGATTAACTAGTTAATGTGTAGTAACTTAGCCATATATTAATGCAATTAATGGTGTGATAAAACAAGGAATAAGCCACAAAGTTATTACACAAAATATATGTAATAACCTTATGGCTAGCTCCTATCATGCCATTAATTGAGTGCATAGCCAGGATGATTGGGTTACCCAGCCTATACAGCACATGAGAGCCCTTGATTCCCATGTGCTCCTAAGGCTGGAAGTGCCAATCAGATGAGTGCCACTCCCAGCCCATCACAGTCAAAGTCCTCAAGGCTAGAAACCACAGTCATCTGCTGCTCCAAGCTACAGAGGGACATTGGAGCCCTTGGGCGCATCCACACATGCAGGCAATGTGCATTTGAAGCAGCTCAAATAGAAGCAGTGCAAATTTGAGATGAGGCTTGTTGCCTCAGCAAATGTGCCTGGACATGCACTTTGGTGTGATGCAAGTTGTGCCACTTGGGGCAAAATAACCCTGCCTGGCTCCTCCTGGATCTGTATCTAGGGAGAGCTAGAGCCTGGGGCCAGCACCTGTGCTGGCCCCAGCCATGTAAAAAGTTGCCCTGTCCTGGCCCCATCAGTACAAAAAGCTGCCCTGGCAAGTAGCCCAGGGCTACGTGCTCTCAAGAGCTTCTGGGGCCCAGCCAATTGGTACCTGGGGACATTACCCCTTGTGCCAGCTGCACTGCTGAAGCAGCCTTGAGAGTTCCCTGCACCCTTTACCCACTGCAGCACTCTGGCACTGGGGGCTGCTGCCTGGCTGTGACCTGCTGCGCACCTGCCAGACCCAGATGGGGACTGCACAGCCAATAGAGGCATCTGCCTCTCCGGGCCAGCTGCCAGTGGGCTGTGGCTGCAGAGTTGGCCTTTGTGTGGCATTACTGTGGCCAGGAGGTCAGCCACCTCCAGCTGGTGCAAGAAGCCAGCTCTAAGCAGGCTCTTCTGCTTGGGTCCTGCCACTTGCCTCCCTAGCAGGAATTCTGGTGTTCCCTATTTGCAAACTGAAAAATCCCTGATTAAAAAAATCCCAAAATCACTCTGTAAAATACCCATATTCCTCTACAACTGAAACAGAAGACCACTATATAGACAGAGAATGAGAGAGACAGACAGAGAGACAGTGATCAGTTGGGCAATGTTTTATTGATATATCTACAGTGTTAAAGCAATTTGGAGGCCTACCACGGTCTCTATCACCATAATAAAATGAATTCTAAATACCTATATGTTTTGCTGTTTGCCTTTGGTTTTCTTACCATAGAGTAGTTAGAGCTCCCTCTGACCCGTTCACTAACCAGGACATGGGGACAGATGCCTCTGCAGCCACAGCTCCTGTCAGCAGGCCTCATCCTGTCTAGCAGCTGGGCATGCTAGGTGTGTGCTGGGGATGTGGAGCTTGCAGAAGGGGGTTGGGAAAAGGAGTGGGGGGATGTGGAAGGCTGTGGAGGGATGTGGAGGGCTGTGGGGTGTGTGGGTAGGTATGGGTGGATTTGGGGGGCATTGTGGGGGAAGAGCTTCTCAGGAGGCATTGGTCTTCTGCCCCCCACAGGGCACAACCCCACCCACAGCTCTCAGACTCCCCCCCCGCGGGCCACCGCCCCCCCCCCCCAGGCCCCAAGAACCCTCCCGGGGCCGCCACCCACCCCCCCCGGCAGGCCCCTTGTCCCCCCCCCCCCTTTCCCCCCCACCCCCCCAAATTGCTCCCCCGCCATATCCCACGCCTTATTTACACCCCCAGACCTCTCTGATGGCTGTCCCACCCAGCCCCAGCCTCCTGGCACTTAAAAAAACCCAGCAGCCCACCCAGCCACCATTCCCTGATTGCCCCCATGCCTGGCTCTGCCCCTGATGGCCCCCCACTTGGCTCCAGCAGTCTGGGACTCAAAAAAAAAAAAAAGGAAAAAAAAGAAAAAAGCCCCACACTCACCGGCAGTAGCAGCTGCCACCAGGGTCGCTGGGGCCTTGTGGCAGAGCCTCATGCACAGCACAAGGCAGCAGGGTGCAGTGGGTACTGGCCCTGGCTGCCTGGCACCCATGCTGCCACTGCCCCTTCATGCAGATGTGGCCTGGATTGGCAGGGCTCCACATGCTATCAGGCAGCTGGTGCCACTGTAGCTGTCACCAGCCTGCAGCCTGGGTTGGCAGGCACTGTGCAGCTCCACGCATTGTTGGGTAGCTGGGGCCACTGTGGCTGTCACTAGCTGGAGCGGCCCCAGCTGCCCGACAGTGCATGGAGCTGTGCAGTGCCTTGCTGACACAGGCTGCACCCATGCGATGGGGCAGGGGCAGCGCAGGTACCAAGCAGCTGGGCCTGGTCCCTGCTGCCCAGTGCTGTGCAAGGGGGTGGGGTTCTGTCAAGAGGACAAGTGACCCCAATGGCAGCTGCTACTGCCGGTGAGTGCAGGGCTTTTTTTTAATTGCAAGGATGCTGGGGCCGGGTGGGATAGTGATCGGGGGAGCTCAGGGGACAGGCAGGGAATAGACCTGGGTGTGGCAGCCATCATGGGGGGGGGCTGCAGGAGCTGGCACGGGATGGGGATGGGGATGGGCAGGGCAGCAATTGGGGAGGCTGCAGGAGGCAGCAGGGGATGGGGCTAGGTGGGGCAGTGATCTGGGGGGCTCAGGGAGAGAGTGAGAGATGGGGCTGATGGGGGTCCCCCTTGGTCCTCTTCCCCCTCCTCCAGCCCCTCCCACCCCCTATTAACTGGCAAGGGCCAGCAGCATGCTTCAGCACTGGGGTGAAGGCCAGCCATAGAGACACACTGGATGGCTAATAGAGCACCTCTGTGGAGGACTGAGCCTCCAGTTGCCTCAGGGCATGGTCCAGGACTGTACCCCACTTTTTTTCCCTAGGAATTTTTTGACCCCTGAATACCCAAGGGTCTAATTTTGCCCAAATTTGCAGTGAGGGGAACCTTTTTTTGTTCCTACATGTGCCTTTTGCAGCATCTCAAAGGGCTTTGAGATGCTGCAAGGGCACATGCACACTTATCTGGACGTGCCCCTTGACTCCAATATGACCACTCAGCTGGGAGCAGCAACAGGTTGGGGCTCCCAGCCTTCAAGGCACAGCTGGAGTCAAGGGCTTCCCTGCACCCCTATGGCTTGGAGCCCTGTAAACTGATCTGGGCACTCAGCCACAAGAGTGCACTGTGCAGCCCTGTCGTTGAGAGCCCAAATAAACTGACAGCTCCCAGCCATGGAAGCTCATTTTGCAACCCCACAGCTGGAAGTCTGAGTCAGCTGATCAGGGCTCCTCGCTGCAGGAGCTTGCTACTTGCCATTGCAGGGGGAGCCTGAGATCTTCTTCTTTCTTTGGAAATCCCTCATAGTTGAGCAAAATTGTCTTCCATGATTGAGAGCCTGGGATATGGCATGTTGGGATCTGATGCTCAATGCCAAAATCATGCCTCCTGCCATGTAAGGCATGGCAGGGAGCATGATTCCAGAGTTGCACATCGGATCTCATCATGCCTGTACCTGCATGGCTTCCAGGCATCAAAGAAAAAAACTTGGAAGAGTCCATGTAACAGCACCCACTAGTGCATTTGCAGAAATTTACACAAGTCACTCAATATCTGTATGTTCTGTTTGAAAAGATAGTTCATTCCGGTCCTATTAGTTTTCATAATCCAGGTTAATCTGACTAAATAATAGGGCTGTGCAAAACGGAAGCATTTAGTTTCAACCAGGATTTCGACATTTCAACAGAACAGTATTTCATTTTGACTTTTGTTTTGAGTCGAAAGGGCTGTTCTGTTTCATTCCATCAAAACGTTTTGCCATTTCAACCGTTTTGACATTTCACCCATAGGATATAATGGGGAAGGTCAAAACAGCCTGTAACTTTGTCATTTCTGGCCAGATTTAGATAAAACTTGTGGAAATGGTAGTCCCTTCTGTGGGCATGATGCAAACCAAGATTCAAGAAGATAGCTGCAGGGAATTCGGAGAAACTGCACTCCAAAATCTTCAGAGCAAAACTCATGTCACGTGTATGTGTTAAGCCACAGCAGGGTCAAAACTGTTGGGATGATAGCCCCTGATGAGGCAATAAAGCTTGCCATGTTTCAAGGATATAGGTGCAGGGGGTTCAGAGAAACTGATCTGATGATCTCATGAGGTCCCTTCCAGCCCTAAACGTCTGTGAATCTGTGCAAACTATGCTACTTCACAGTAAACTGTCTTATGTAGACGCACCCAGTTATGGTCATTTGGACTAAGGCAATAACCTCTCTGAAAGGGAGAACTAAACTGTTTATCATGTTTATTAAATAATACTTCTCTTATTATTACTTATTTTTTTTAACAATGAACTAAGCATTACAAGAAGCACTAAACAACTAAAGTTGTTTCATTAACTGTATTTTTGAGAATAGGTTACACAGTGGTGTTATCATCCCCATCTTTTTTCTCAGCAATATTCTCATGGACCAATGTTGTACTGAGGCTTCTAAAATGGATACTGCCCACCTGAATTCCTGAACTTGACTGTTTTATTAATACACGTTTTGATAGGCAATATTTTAATAATACATTTGGATTTTTTTAAAAATACTCCATTAAAATGTTTATAGATTGTTTATGCTGGGTTTTTTTTAATTCTCGTGGTGAAATATATGTGGGGGGGTTTTGGCCAAAGAAAATTGGTAGTCCTAATAGTAACAAGCATGCAAAGGTAACCATAAACCATTTTACAAACAGGGACTTGGCCACTTGGGAGCATGCATAAGCTCTTCCAATTTAATTAGTACATCTGCCAATTTATGCTGGTTGGCGGTATGACAATACAACTGGCTGCCCACACCCTCAGTCAGTAAACATGAAAGGACCACAAGTATGGCCTATGTAAGAACCTAAGCCAGTGAATTATAGAAGTATATGCTTATCTTTAGCTACAAATATTTTTGATGATATCTTTTATTGGATTAACTGTATAGTTGGAAGAGATATTAGACAGGATTTTAGGCACAAAATGCCTTCAAATTGTTTTGAGGAACCTGAAGAAGGCCATTTTGTGACTGAAAGCTTGCCTAATACATCTCCCAGCTATAAAATTGATCCAGTAAAAGATATCACCTGAAAAATTCAGCCTCTCACATTTCCCAGACCATCATGATTACGTGGTTCCTATCTGTAAGTATACAAATGAAAAAGAAAGGCCAAGTGTTACTCAAGTGTCAGTGGCCTACCAGATAGCATACCAATTTGTGTAGCCAAGGATACAAAAAGGAGGATGTGTGTACATGAGATGTTTACTGTGGAATTGCCTAATTAGCTCCCCAGTAAAGTCTCAACATCTACACATGCAGCCCTATTAGGGTGCAGTAAACTAATAAATGCCGCTATAAGCTAGTAGTTGTAAACACAAGTACTATCCTGTGTCATGTATTGTGGTGGTACAAATAATGCCATGTAAAAGCTGATGGGGCTGGCTGAGGCATGAGGATGCTTCAGTACAGGTGCTGCCTGCTCAAATTCCTGAAAAACTGTGAGTAACACAGGTGGCTGAGTCCTCTTCCCCTTCATTGTTATTTTGTGACTTAGTTTTAAGGCTTGGAGGACAGCATATGACAAAAAGGACACATTTGTGGATTTTCAAAAGATTCAAACTAGGTGGAATAGTACTGCATTTAGATGCCTAACAGATGGAGCAGAATCTAACTCTATGACTAGGGCCATTTAAATTAAAGATATTTAAACTCATGCTTAACTTTAAGCATGTGACTAGTATATTTTTGGATAGGGATTTAATCTTCAGTTGTTTCATATGTTTCGCTGACATATATCAATAATGATGAGGCAAGCAAGAAGTCATTGGAGGCATCTACTTCAAAAAGGAATTTATGGAGACTATATGAGATTACTCCTATAGATTCAGTGATAGGATGTGATGTGATCATTGTACAGGTACTTCAGGAAGTTAATAGTCTGAAAGAAACTCGAGTTTATAGAAAACAAAAAATGAACAATCCTGTAGTCCCATCCCCCCCCTTCTTTTATAGTGTTTCCAATGGTGATTAATAATGGATCCTGAAACAGATTTAGACCAAAAGATGACAACTTTTGGGGGTTGTTTTTTCTTTTCCTATTCTTATCTATTTCTTGTTTTTTTAACCAATTGCAGTATTAAGGCTTGACCCAGAATCCACAGAAGTTGATGACAAAACCCCTTCCAGGCCCTAAATTCTGCTTGACTTGGTGATTGTACAGGGGATGCCTGGCTCTATATTACTCCATATAGGCTAAGTACAGCCAGTCAAAAAGCCTGAGATTGAATCAATTCAATCTTCACAGGTTAGTCTAAGCTTCATAGATTGGGGGTTCTCAAACTTTTTCTTCCTGAGGCTCCACTTAGCGTGCTATAAAAAATACTGGCCCAGCTCTCCAGCTCTGCCTGCCTGGCCTTGGTTGCAGCAGTCATGGCTTGGCTACGGGTAGCCCCGGGGCTCCACTCACCTGAACAGTAGTAGTGCAGAGCCTCATCCACTCACCTGCAGTGCCTTCTGCAAGATGGAGGCTGTGGGGTTGGGCAGGTTGGGGCAGGTCTGCCCCCACCACTTCCTTGCCACTCTTCCTTGGGACTCACTTCAGCCACAAGGGCCCAAGGCAGCTCCTTCCCATACTAGGCCAAGCTGGGTGGATGCCCTAAAATCTGCATGTGGCCTCCCAGGGGATAACAGACCCTCAGTTGAGAACCACTGGTGTAGATTTAACCCATAAGCAAGTAAACAGACATTCACTTTTGATTCTGGAAATGCAGCCACATGCTTGCAGTGGCCCAGGGCAGAAGCCATGGGGTGCTACAGCATGCCTTCCAGCTTGGTTGTAGCAGACAGATTAAGCCAAAGCTAGTCTGTCTACCCTGTGAGGCAGGGTTTGTGGAGAAGGAGCAAAGTATCCTGGGATGCTGGGGGACTGCGAGTTAACTTGAATCTGGAGAGGCTGTGGGACAGAAGTTGAATAAACCAATTTAATCTAAATCAGTTGAGTCTAATTCAGGTTTATCTTAAACCAGTTTGGGCCATTTTGAAAGTAGTTTATGTGCACTGAATTACTGTTGTGTTACAAATTTGAACCAGTTCCCAATCACTTATACTGGCTTATGTATAATTTCTGACCTTAGCCACAGGGTGAACATGAAAATTACTAAATTCCCAGTCTAACTTCTTTTTAGGCAGTAGAAACATCTCCATTGACCTTCAATTCAATTCAATTCAATTTATTAAGGATTCTGGCTGAAATCCATGCTCCCAAAAACAACATAACAGACATACAACCATAATATAATTTTAAACAAAAATAGCAGAAATGAAATGTAATAATAAAATAGGGCCAACCATTATAAAAGCATTATTCCTTCGCCTAGAATTAACATAAACAAGTACAAATATAGTGATAAATCAGATCATGAATCTATAAAAATATCGTGCATAGGTCCACAATTAACACAGTAAAAAAACAAATATAGTGATAAAGTTTATTGGTCACATCAACAGTAACGGATGTTTAGCTCTGATTGCTTCAGCCTTGTAAGCAAAAATTGCAAGACGGTTTACTAAATATGAATCTGTTTGCTGGAGGAGCCATATTAATTTCTCTTTATTTCAGAAGTATGCCAATCTCTGCAAGCACGGTGATAAGTACTTTCTCCTTATGTTGTTATATAGAAGACATTCTAAGCCATAATGAATAGTATCTTCCAAAACTCCTAGACAGGCTGGGCAACACCCTTTAAACCTTGGAATGGAAAGTCTACATCCAGCCAAAACAGCTGTGGGTATGTGTTAGGTCCTGAGTGTAGTCAAAGAGGTTCACCATTTATTGTTGAGATCCAGCTGTAAGTACCTTGCTTCCCCCCAGTCTTAATTTCCAAAGAATATATAAAAGGGATCCATTGACTTTAATAAGAGATATTTGAGGTAATGGGCCAGCAAAAATAAAATAGAGGAAAAAGAATTAGAATGTTATGCTTTCAAAATTGTTGGCACTTATATTTTTAAGTATTTCTTTACATTAATTGATCTTTCATTTATTTTTTTGCCAAGCACTCTGTAAAGAGCTAAATGTATGTGTTGCAATCATCTGCACCTACACTTATAGTAACTTACACACAAGTACCAGTGACAAGAACCAGGTTATAGCAAGTATATTCCACTATTATAAATGATGGCCTATCTACCAATGCCAAACCAGAAAGCCTTCAGAGCTACAGAAATCGTTCTGTACTAGGTCATATCTAGATGGTTTAAGGCCTTGAAACTACATCTTTTAAGTTATGTCTAGATTGCAGCTGGAGGTATGACTGCAGTACTGTAAGCACAGCTGAACCAGTTTTAATGTTGCTACATAGACTTCAACATGGGCTACCCACCTGAGTTAGTATTGGGGGTTCTTGCATAGCCCGCAGTGAAGTCTGCACTACAGTTTCTACAGTGCATTATTACCTGGAAGGAAGCTATCTCAGTCATCTAATATCTAGGATCTCAACTGCAGACAGAGCTCCCAACTGGAGATGTAGTCTAATAGCGTCATTTATTTCTAAGAACTCATTCACTTCAAGAAAGAATGCAGTATTGGAACCAAATGATTCTGACATCTATATATTATGGAAGCCATGGTTGTTGCTTCATAACTACTGTTAAGCTGTTTTAGTTTTAAAGCAGGAATTTAACCTCCAGTGCAGGAAGAATTACAACATATTGTTCTCAAAATTAATGTCCTCACTTTTAAGATAAAATGACATTTCTGAGAATTTACAACTAAATCATATTTAGGTTGTAAGATAAAATACATTTTTAAATGGGACCTATAAGATATGTAGTACTCTTTTTATTATCTCATATGATCTCAGAAATAGAATGTAGAATCTTTAAACTTTCCACATAGATTTCGTAGACATTAGGGCTGGAAGGGACCTTGCAAGATCATTGGGTCCAGCCCCCCTGCCCAAAGGACAGGAAGTCAGTTGGGGTCAGATCACCCCAGTAAAATAAGCATACAGGTGTTTCTTAAAAGGTATCCAGAGCAGGTGCTTGCATCACTTCTGGGGGGAATCTGTTCCAGACTCTGGAGACTCAGATGGTAAGAAGTTTTTCCTTATGTCCAGTCTAAAATGGTCTTCCAGCAAGTTGTGACCGTTAGACCTTGTCTTCCCTTGGGTGCCCTGGTGAATAGATCCAGTTCCTGATGAACACCCCTTATATACTTATAGGCAGCCACCAAGTCATACCCGAGCCTTTGCTTCTCCAGGCTAAAGAGTCCCATGCTCTCAGCCTCTCTTCATAAGGCCTGTTCTCTTGACCTCTGATCATGTGGGTGGCTCTTCTCCCAACTCTCTCAAGCTTCTCCACATCCTTTATTTGCATCCAGAATTGGATGCAGTACTCCAGTTGCAGCCTCACCAAGGCTGAGTAAAGTGGGAGGATAACTTCTTGGGTCTTGTTTGAGATGCATCGGTAGATGCAAGCCAGAGTTTTATTTGCTTTGCCAGCTGCATCATTGCATTGGAAGCTCATGTTCATCTTGTGGTTAATCATGACCTCCAAGTCTCTTTCGATCATGGTGCTAGTGAGTGTAGCACTGCCAAGGCTATAAGTATGTGTGCGGCAGTTCTGTCTAACCCAGTGCACTCTCCTAGACTTTCGCAGATTGGATTGCGCTGTCTGATATTATAATGGTATTTACCGACTCTCACCTGCCATATCTTGATCAATAAACAACGGTATAAGTTAGGAGGTGTCAATTATTATCTACCGTCATAATACCTGGCAATCTGTCCTGTGAGAGAGGATCATCTAAGAACACCCTTTGCTTCCCCCTTTTTTATTTTTCTTTTTGTTTTGCTGGGGGTCTAAGTGCCAACCATCAGTTAGCAATTATAGCCTTAGGTCATTCAAGTCTGGTTTACAATGTCATTTATTTATCAATATTCAAACTCGCATCTATTATCATCCTGCTATTTGCAAGTATCTTTAATTCTTTACATCAATTAAACATTAACATCAACTTAAAAAGAATCCTGCTCAGATATAGATTCAACTTAGCTGATTTCTTATTTATCAATGACTTTTAAGACAATCCTGTCTTCTTTGCACTGAACTCTATTTCTGATTTTTCTTTTCTTTCTCTGCATCATGGTCTCTATTCCTTCAGAATTGCAGCTATTTCTCTCTTTATGAAGTTTGTGTGTTTCCCTTTTATGAACATGTCTAACCAACTCCTAGACACGTCGTCTCCAACAGCCATGCCCCAGTCCTGATATCTTCTAAAAGAGAGGAGAGTTCCCCCATCCCTATCTTCCTCTTCTCAAAGGTTACCTTTCTTTTTTTCTTCTTTGGGCTCCTCTGTTTAGTGAGTCCTGTCTGTCTCACTCTCGCCCTGCCAGTCTCCTCTCACAGCCAGGCTTTTCTCTCTGCTCACCACTCATACTGGCTCTGCACTCTCCCCACAGCCTACACTCCTCGCCTGTCCAGATCTAGTTGTAGCCTGTCCCTCCCTTCTAATGTGCCCACTTCTCCCCACATCTTAGTGTCATCCACGAACCTGAAAAAGGTAATTTTCACCCCCGCATCCAAGTCGCTAATGAAGATGTTGAACAGTGCAGGCCTGAGGACTGAGCCCTGGGGAACCCTACTGTCCACATCCCTCCAGGTCGAAAATGACCCGTCGATAACCACTCTCTGGGTCCGGCCCTGCAGCCATTTTGTGACACATCTGACTGTGTAGGCATCGACACCACAGTCACCTAACTTTTTTTATGAGAATGGGGCAAGACACAGTGTTGAAGGTCTTCCTAAAATCCAAAAAGACTATGTCAACCGTGACACCTGCATCCAAGGATTTTTTGAGTTGGTCATAGAAGACCAGGTTGGTCTGACAGGACCTGCCTCTAATGAACTCATGTTGGTTGCCCCTAAGCATAATCTTCCCTGCTAGTCCCTTGCAGATGTGTTTTTGGATAATTTTCTCAAAGAGCTTCTCCAGAACCAAGGTAAGACTAATGGGTCTATAGTTTCCTGGGTCCTCCTTCCTCCCTTTTTTGAAAATGGGGACCATATTGGCCTGTTTCCAATCCTGTGGCACCTCACCAGAGCACCACAAGTGCTCGTAGAGCTGTGCCAGGGGTCCCACAATGTCCTCTGCCTATTCCTTCAGCTAGGTCTGGGTTTGTGGTAGCTAGCAGGAGGGCAAGTTCCTCCTGCTTGTTCCCCATACTACGTACATTAGTGTAGAAGCATTTAAGGCCTCCTGTGGGTGTATGCACTGCCCCCCTGAACCCAGAACTATCTGGACCCCTGCCACTTACCTGGATACTTTTTGTGCTCATCATCTGCCATGGCTGGGGAGCGTCGTCATTTCCCCCTGTGGCCCCATCCCCCAGCAAAGCTAGTTTAAAGTACACCATATGAGATCAGTCAACCTGGGTAACCTCAATCTTGAAAGTATCAAATCCTGATTTTTCTCTATCCATCTTGTTGTGTCCTGTGATCTCACCTAATTCCTATTAAGCTCAATTATGACTTAACACAAGTTAAACTAGGCACTTATTACAATATATCATTCTAGAATAGGAAAAATAAAGTCCCAGATAGACCCTATTCACAGAACCAGCAATCCATATAGCACTTATGGCAATGTATAATTTTTAGAGGATTCTTTAAAACATGAAAATGGCTGGCTTTAAATTTACACCCCCTCACTCTACATTACTACTCTAAATTATTTCTACTCTAAATTATTTGTACAAAAATAATCTCATTCAAACTGAACAGATTTATTATCTTGTTGAAGGAGGATATTGAGCTTTTTAGAAAAGAGCCACTTTATTTCTAGAGTGACAAATTAAAACAAGTGTTTAGGTCAGGAAAATTCTCTCTTTACTAGATAGTAGTATTTCTAGTGTCATTCAAGAAGCATTAATGTTGATACACTTGAAAGAGTTTGTAATATCTTCTTGGATCAGAGATACACAGGGCTTGTCTACATGTGCGTTGCTTGCTTAAGCAAATACAAAATGACTGCACAGTAACCACTGTTACTTCACAGTCCCAGTGCCACATGGGTTGTTTCCAATGCTACTGTGCAGTAGCGTCAGCATCATGGTTCATGCCCACTGGTGCTACGTTGCCCTAGCTCATCACTATGGTGACACAGTATCTCATGTAGATGGGCCCACAGAGATGTTTTCATATAGCAAAAAAAGAGATAGAAAGAATGAAACTGTTGTGGGTTAATGTCTCCTTGAGATGCATCTGGTTGAAAGGAAAATGACCTCTGAGTTTCTATGGCAGTTTAAACCAAATTGTACAGTGGGAATGATGTTAATTCAACTACCAAAATTCAGAAGACTGGGAAGGAATAGAAAGAACATGTCACTAATTAAAACACTTAAGATGTTAAAGGTCTAGTGGAAATCTGTTATCATTTACTCCTTGATGGGAGGAATTATATGAATTTTTCAATATCTCAGTGGCTACAGAACTGTACAAAAATAATCTCAATTACCCCTTCATTATTTCCTGTTGCTCAGTGGTTAGGATTCTGTCCCCAAATACTACCAGTCATCATTTATCATTTTGTATTTCTGGAATTTAGCAAAGAGATCTGTGCTATAGAGATATAGGCCCAGCAGAATACTATTTAGATGGTTAATCACCAATCAGAAACCCATTGTGCCAAGTCCTGTACAAACACAGAAAAAAAAGGAAGAGCGATCACTTTAGAATAGAACTAGGTATAGAACAGACAGGTGCATATGAACAGAATGAATGGATTTAAGGTGCTTTAGCCTGAATTAAGGCACATTAAACGCACATGTCTAGATGTGCGCACTCTTAATATGCCTTAAAATGCAGATTTTAGGCTATTCACACCTAAATTTGACACCTGCAAAAGCTAAAGCACATTAATGCATGTGTAGATGCATTAAGGTATATTAACACTGTGTATGGAATCACTTGGGACTAACTTGGGACTCCTAAGATCCCTACTGACTTCCTGCCCCTGGGGTAGGGGGCTGGACTCGATGATCTTCCAAGGTCCCTTCCACCCCAATGTCTACGAATCTATGAATTTAACTTTAGTCCTACATCAGTCTACACACATTTCATTAATGAGCTTTAATGCATGCACGTGTGATATGAGCCGAAATCACCTTATGTGATTTGTGAGCCTAAATCACCTTAATGCACAGTAAATTTAGGCAGGCATAAATGTGTATGTAGACATGACCATTGAGTACATGAATTCTGATCTTCATGGAAAAACTCTAGGGACAGATCCACTGAGGGCTAGAAGCCATGTTTATTTTCTTTAAAACTAAATACCATATAGAAGACAATTATTTATTTTGAGAAATTCTTTGGAAATTATGCAGTCAGAACTGAGCAAACTCACCGGTGTAAATGAGCAACTAAATATATTCCCTTTGCTTCACACAAATATATACTGGGATTTAAAAAACATAAATAAACAATCAATCAATATTTGCCAACACACCACAGTCATGTAGCCAATATTTCACATCATTAGTGTAAAGCATCAAATAAGAGATAATTGAGGTCAAACATTGTATAGTCTCAAACATTTTAAGCAGGTCTGAGAGGAAAAAATGGCCATTGTGATATCTGTCTTTCCAGAGAAGAGCACAGTTCTTCAGTTCCAG